CCCATCAATGCACGAACGCTTCAACAACCCAAACTCGCCTCAGAGTCGACCACAATGGCGTGTGAATATGGCGTCTTGTTCCAGACGGTCACATTTGCCACTTTGCACTCGTTGTCGCCCATGCTGTTGTTTGGGCGAATTCTCTTCTTTCTCCTCCTCTCACAGCCTGGACCCATCTGCTCTTGGGCACATGACCAGCCCGGCGATGCCCGCCTCCTCTTCACAAGACAGCCGTATCTACGCGCCTCCGGAGTACCAGGTCCGGGACAGATCAGCCTCAGTCTGCTCGAGGAGGCGCCGTTGGGCTCAGAGGTTGTCGACGTAGGCGCCATCTTGGCCGTCTGGCAGGCAGACGACCGGCGACATCAAATGTACCCCGAGACGGCCAAGACTGTGTCCCGCATCCGGTCGGCCTTGACCAATCGGAGCGCCAAGTCGTCCTCCTCCATCGGCTCGGACCAATCCGGCCCAGCGAATCGGGGCTCGCAGGCGTTTGAAACCAATTCCCAACATTCGGCTGGTCTGGGATCGTCGGGCGGAGTGAATCGCAACTTTCAGTTCTTCAATTGCGACTTGGCCTCCCGATACTTCAGCATTGACTCGCAGACCGGCCGTGTCTGCGTGGCCCAGAGGATAGACCGCGATAGTCTGTGCCCGGCAGTTCCACGCTGCTGTCCCAGCAATCATGAGGTCGAAGCGTATTTGATGAACGAAGCCGGTGCGATGCAACAAACTGAGACGGCCACCACGGCCGAGACGTCGCTTAGACACCAGCGATTCCCTCCTTTCTCGATGGCAGGTCTCTACGGTAGGCCCAAATTCATTTTCGTTTGTAAGTAGGGTTTTCGGATTACCAAAAACTCACACATACGAGATGTGTTAACTCTATTTCACTTGAGGTGACGAAATAGAGTGAACACATTTGATATACAGGATTTAATGATAGTCTCGAAATTCTAGTTATAAAACGAAAAATAAGTAATGTAGTCGGTTTCTCAATCAACTTTGCTTAATCGACAATTCCACCACATAAATGTAATATGGGAAAGGCCTAGACTTCCTTGAAATTAAAATATGCTATGTGACCCGAGGGCACTTGTGGTAATGTGGCATAATGGTTAGGGTCTAATTTATATGCTGCACCTTCATGGTTCGAGTCCCACTCGGAATGCTGATAAGACCTAGACGAGGTCCCCTCTAGATGAGAAAACCTTTTGGTAAAGCAAGGCTATATGAAATTCAATGGAAACGTTAGGTCTCATCATAGCATTGTGGGAAAATTCAGCTTCCAGTCCTTCACCATGTTATACAAAAGAGGGTGAGCACATCTCATGCGCCTATATTACCCGAAAAGGCTTGTCCTAATTCCAATTTTGCAAAAGACCATTAAACACAAAGAAGGTCCTTCATCGTTTCAACTAATGGTTCGCACCATCAAGAAGCTATTTTTTTCATAAAAAGCCGGAATAGACTCGAAATAACGAACTTGACCCTAACTTCTAAGCACCAGAATTAGTGATAATTTCGAAATTTACTCGTGCAGAATATAAGTAGTGCTGTTGAGCAAAATGAAAAATGCGTTTTTGCTTCATCGACAATTCTACTTAACATGCGCTTTTGGCACTCATGGCCTACTCTGTGTTCCACTAGCTCCGTAGCTGATGAGTCCTAGGTGCGAAAGCTTTTTGGAAGGCAAAGCTAAATACAATGCGATTTTTATAAATGTGGGGCAAACCCTTTACGTGCTAGCGTGGCCCGTGGATGAACAAGTCCTTAAACAAGATGTGCCGTACGACATTAGTCGAAAGGTGCATCTCATCACAACAATGGTCCTTTATCCCTAATTTAACCAAAATTTAAGTGTTTTTAGATGCTTTTATTTCATTTTGGAACTCGTCTCACTATAATGAGCCCCCATTGCCAACCATTTACTTGCTGAACCTGTACATAGCTCTAGTCCGACAAGTGAAAGGCATCGTCTAATGAAGACATTGTAGATACGAAGAGAAACTGAGTTTTCATGAACATTGTTGGGGGGACTTTCATTCCGTATGAAAGTGTATGAGGAATAGATTCGTAGGTCGATCTTACCACAAGAGGACGGATGAATCTCGTTATACTGCATCGGGATGTCCATCATATGATGGACGAAAGCTGTGTTCATTTTCACACGAAACGAGGGAGGTGTCGTGAACTGCGTCAACTTGAACACCGTATCAAAGCCAAATGGCCGCAGTACAATGGGATTCATCCGTCCTCTTCTGGTGAACTCTACCTACAAATCTCTTCTTCATGCACTTTCATACGAAATGAAAGTCCCCACAACATACACAACACTAGTGGCAGAACAAAGAAGTGGAGATAACCAATAAACATTTTAGCATTTCTAAATAAACTAAAAATTAACTGTAATCATACAGTCGTAAATATGTTTTAGATCAGTAATTCCCAAACTGTGCGCTGCGGCCTCTTTACAGGGGCACCGCAAAATATTATAAAAGCTTCAATTTGAGAAAATGTGTAGTGATTTGCAGGCTCATCCATCACATTAATTATTAAATATCAATTTAATGTTAATAAATTTATTTATTTTAATCTCTTACTTACGAATAGTC